AGAATAAGAATTGCCCCCTTTTTTTGTGTGTGGTTTGCCTAGAACACGTAAGTGGTAAATAAATAGAAATGAGTTATTGATAAGTGGGGAATATTTGACTATTTGTGAATCCTTCGAAATATGTGAACAAAATGTTATTCGACTGTATAAACCAAACAAAGGCTGAGATATCGTTGTTGATATTTAATTTAAGCATGAATTTATCAACTTATTACATTTTCAATAATAAGAAACAATTTTTTATAGGAAAATTGATAAAAATAAAAAATTCCGACCTGCCGGATTCGAACCAGCGACCTAAGGATGACAGCAAGCAAACTACAGTCCTCCGCTCTACCAACTGAGCTAAGGTCGGTCTTGGAAATATGTTTGTATTAACTATATTAGTCTTTTTAGTATTGCAAAATTTGTTTACGACCAGGTTTAAAAGAAATAATTTTACATTGAGAACATTTGAATCTATGTAAATTACTTATTTTGATGGTAAATAAATAATTACTTCTACTTGCTTTTGAGCTTAGAAAATATGCTTAGCACATTAATCACAAATCATTGCTTGGAAGAGATTTTTTCACGTAAGTACAGTTAAAAATGTATGAAAAAATCATAAGTTCCCATAGAATGAGTCACTAAGACGACTTGAGAAAAAAAATAATTTGCCAAAAAAACTCTCTTGAACAACCTCTTTGGCATCATGATTATCCTTTTGGCATATCTTTATGGTAGATAGGATCTTGTAGGATTTATATTTATGACATCTAATAGTATTGCATCATTTCATAAAGTCTGAGTAAAATATAATTTTAATTCAATATGACAACGATAAAATTGACGAATATATATATTTACTAAAGTTGAAAAGTATACTACGCATTCACTCGATAATCAATTCATTAGCACCAAGTCGATACTGATCCAATCCTAGTAAGACCAACCTCATCAATTACTTGAGCAAGAATCCCTTATCGAGGGATTATTGTACACGATTTTTTCATTAGGACCCTCTCAAAATGAAAAAAAATAAAAATGAATCGACTTTAAAATGTTTGTCATGATTTGAAAATGTAACGATATGTAATTATCGCATGTACTCTGTTTTGCATAGGGGTTCCATGTTTGTCATAGCCGGTTAGAGACCTGACTGACATAGCTTGACAGTCTATTGATGAGAAAGTATGAAAACTGATATTATCTCACCATGGCAAAATGTAGTTATCTAAGGCAGTGTTTGATTACCTTCTTTTTCTATGGAAAATGGAAAAAGAATTCAATTTTCCAACAAAAACCGCGTTTGATTGGCATAAAATGGCTGGGAAATTATTTTCTTTGGACAGCCTCCACGGGCGACTTTTCCTCCAAATTGGTGTCCAACCTGCCGTCATTTTTGACTTTATTTTTTTGTTTTTTTTTTTTAGCAATAGAA